AAATCCACTTCCTGATTCTATGTCTTCCTCCCATTACTGCCCCATTTCTCTGATATATTTTATAGATTAATATCTGAGAACTTTCTTAATGTTGTCCTTTTAAACATTAAATTTTTGTTGGTCTGGTGGAATCATGGCAGCATTTGAAAGGAAAAATACTGCTACAAGCCTTGGTAAAAATACAAATGGCCCCAATCTTCCATGCAGCCCCATTTCTTGATACCCAGAGGCAGCCTGCTTTACTTCTTTGGCTGGGGCTGCTTTTATTGTTACCTGTTTCCTCTGTGTCCCCACACAGAATGTCATCAGGGCTCCTTCTTTGTTTGTCCAATTCATGTTGCACTCTTAGTGGAGAGCTGCCATTCACAAGCCCCTATCCTCTCATTAGTCATTTCATGATTTTGGTTAGATCAATGTTGTTTACATCTCTATACTCAACATGGATATTGATGTATAGTTTTGTTTCCTTGATTGTCTTTAATCAGCTTTGGGATCAGGCTGATACTGGCTTCATAGAATCAGACCACATTTCTTGTCATTAGATGATAGATGACTCTAATATATATTTGATATATAAAAATACAGAAAAATATGGAAATATTACTCACAACTAGGCTTGTAGCTTTCATTACTTTGTTGCCTTGAACTGAATTTAACTTCCCTGCAGTCAATAAAAATGTTCTTCCTTCATTTGTTTAGTTTCTGTTGTTCTCATTACTGCAACTTTCCCAAACTCTTCTCCAGGGTCTCTGCTATGGTTTGAATGTGTGTTCCAAAGTTCACATGTTGGAATCTTGATATTCAATGAGGTGGTGTGGGGAGATGGGACCTAATGGGAGGTGGGTGAGTCATAACAGTTGCTCATAAAAAGATCATAAATAGATCAGTACTTTTATCTTGGGAATCGGTTGGCCCCTCCTGCCTCTCTTGCCCTCTGCTTACCCTTACACCTTCTACCATATAAGGAAACAGCAGGGGGACCCTAGTCAGATGCCAGTGCCTTGACCTTGGATTTCTCTGTCTCCAGGTGGCCAGGTTGAAGAGATGATTTGGGTTTAAAGGAGCTGGATGCAGTAATAACAAAGAAACCAACAAAGCAACCATGCAGCACAGAAACATGAGTTTCTGAAGTTGAGGGTGGGACTGCTTAGCAACCCCAAGTGTCAGCTCCTTGCTGGAAAGAGAGAGTGCACCTCCATTTTTTATTTTATAGGGGGGACACAAAGGAGTTCAATGGAATGTTCTTCACCAAAGAAGGCCTGGGATAGGGTTTTGAAGGTGGAGTCTTGCTTTGTGATGTCTTGTGGTCATCAGATTAATTGATATCTTGGCCACTCACACCCATCTCAGGTGCTGTGTGGGATCACAGGCAGAGCAAGAGGAAGGCACACTTATGTCTCACAGCCCAATCAGTGCACAAAGCCAGACCAGTCTTATGGCTCAAATGCTCATAGCTCACACTCACAGCCTATGGATGGCTCATGACACTTCCCAACCTTAATAACTGTGAGAAAATAAGTATCTATTCTTCAATGTGTGGTGTTCTGTTGGAGCAGCCAAATGGACTAAGTCAATCTCTACCAGTATAAGCATATCCAGGACTCCACCAACTTGGTCTTTGTAAAGACACCAGTGCCAGAGCTCTCAGTCCTTCCAGACCTGGACTGGATGCCTTCACAACTGGAGCGAGGCTGACCCCCTGGATCTGCTTTACCTCATGGGGGTACACGGCCTCCCTGTCTCATGCTGGCTCCCTATTGACTACATTTCCCATATTCCCTTTTCTTGCTTTTTTTCCATAATTTTTGTTTCTCACTTCATTTAGCCATATCCTACAAGAACAATATTGAAACTCTAAATATCTGAAATGTCTTTCAGACACCCCAGCTCTCATTCCAACATAGTAGAATTCTGTGTTGAAAATATGTGTACTTGGACAGTGAATGATATTGTTTAACATTTTCTAGCTTCCAAAGCTGTTTTTCCTGCTTCTTGAAATGTTCAGAATCTCTTCTTTTCTACCTGCTCTCTGAAATTTCATTTTAACCTATGTTGGCATAGGTCTATTTTCATTTATTTGGAGGCAATTCAATGTAATTTGTGGGGGACTATAAATGCTGAGAAAATGTCTTGAGATTCTAAAATCATTCCTTACTCTCAATTATTCTTCAATTCATATAGGTCAGTTGTTGAAAATCCTTTATTAATGGCCTTGTGATCTTACAGTTCTTCTGTCTTCCTTACCATATACCAATTCTTTTTTTTCCCCAAGAAAACAGTTTATTAAAGAATGTTCAGCTGGGTTGTAGAACATGCCTGTAAGGCCAACTACTTGGCTGAGGTTGGAGGATTTTGAGTGTAGAGAGCCATCTTCTCATGCAGAATGGGTAAGGCTCCAGCAGGTCCCCACATTCCCAGTTACCTTTGGGGGCTCACTGGAAACAGGGATCGAATAAAAGGGGAACCCAGAGAAAGGCTGTAAAAACCCTGAATTCCCTTTGTAGCTGAAATGTTAGGACTGGAAATTTCCCAAATTGGAACATTAATGTCAAAACCAATGGCCATTAGAAATTAGGCATATGGAAAATAAACTGGAGTTGGGGTCACAGCTGAGTACCAGGAATAATCCTCTAGTGAAACTGGATTCACTTTTCACCCCTGCTTGTCCTGTTTGCAGAGGGCAGCAGAGTAAGGTCCATGAGACCAGGATTTTCTCTACCCCTACTGCTGATCCTCTCATTCAACATGCTAGTCTTATTTTGATCTGAAGAATTAGCTTAGGCCAGGCTGGGCATGGTGCTCAAGCCTCTAATCCCCGGAGACTTAGGAGAGACCAAGGGAGGACTGCAGCAATCCCAGACTAGTCCAGACAACATCGCCAGACCCACCTCTAAAGAGTTAGGGATGTTTCTCAGTGGTTAGCTCGCCCTGGTTGAATCCAAGGAACCAAAGAAAAAAGAATTAGCTTCCTATGGGGGCAAGGAGTCTTATTTTTGTAGTGCTGGTCAGCAGTGCAGATGTGGTGGACATCCAGAAGTGTGGCTATTGCAGGTGAAAGGTACACAGGCTCCCAGGAGCCTCCTCAAACAGTGTACCATACTAATTACTTTCTGGTACTACTTTAATTGTCCAAATCATCTATAGAATTATTCATTTCTTTGACAAGTTTTTAATTTCTATGAACTTATTTTTGGTTTTTCTTCTGTACCTAATTGTGCATAATTTCATTCCTTATTCACAAATACCATGTCTTTTTACAGTTTTTTTCAATTACTGATAGTAGAGGCACACAATCAAGCAAAGAAATTGAGACCATTTGGGATCTCTTCACAGTTTACACAGAGCAGCAGTTCTCAACATGTGATCTATGAACCCTTGGAGGTGCTCAGATGATTGCACAGGATCCATATAATCAAAAATATTTTTATAATATCACTAAAACATTACTTACACCAAAGTAAAACTTGCCAAAGTGGAAGCTCTGGTACCAAACTGCAATAGTAGTTACTGTATTTTTGAACATATTGTAACAGCAGAAGGGAAAACATGCAAGTTCACTTAAACATGTCCTGATTGAAGTGTTAAAAATCATTAACTTTATTAAATTGCCATTCCAGAATTCACATTATATTTGATAGAATTGGAAGTACACATAAAGCACATCTGCTACATTTGAAAGGAGGGTGTTTGCATCAACAAAAGCCATGTGGTGAGTTGTAACATCACCACCACCACCACCCTTTTTTTTTTTTTTTTTTTTTTGGAATACCATTCCTTCTTCAAAGAATGAATGACAGAGAAACCATTCCTTAGACTTCAGTACTTGGCCAACATTCTAAAATACGAACTGAGTCTGTCCCTTCAAAATAATCACAGACAGCAATGTTTTCAAGGATAAAATGTATGCTCTCAAGAGAATATCAGAATCTAGGAGAAACTGCCTTCACCACTATCAACCTGACAGACTCCCAAGTACCTACAATATTTTCTGGTGAATCTGTAGAAATATCAACATATGACCTCTTGATTACTTGCATTTAAATATGTTAACAATAGAAGGTCTATGTATATAACTTGGACAAACAGTGCATCACTGTAAAACACTATCATGCATTAGCACAAGATCCATTCAATATGCAAGACACACTCACAGACTTTAATACATCAGAATATGTACCATTCCATGGTAATGTTTCAGGGTCCATATGGCAAAGAACCTTTAAGAAGCTAACACTTGTATGAAGTTAGTGTTTGTATCAAAGACAATAGCCACATACACTGAAAACATTGTTAAAAACATTCTTCCTGAACTTCTCTGAGGCTGCATTTTTCATTGTTGTTTTTTCAACCAAAGTCACTGGATAAATGCAGAACATATGATATCTAGCATTCTCTATGACAAATAGAAAGGGCTTTCAACTTGTAAAAAGAAAAAACGATCAAGTCTTCAGACTAAATCTTTTGATTTTGGAAAACAGTTATTTCTCTTTGAAACTGCTGTTTGTTACATGCAATTAGTTATAAATACTCAAAAGGAATAACATATCTTTAACGTGGAATTAATTTCTAATATGATAAATATTGACAGACATAATCCACATTAACCAGATCACCTCTGGAGTGCACACTACTTTCTAAGAGCATGTGAAGATGCTGAAACCAAAACGTTTGAGAACTACTGACTTTACACCCTGAGGCAGGAAACAGGGGACTGTGTGACAAAGAATGTTTAGTACAGAGGAGTGTTCAGGGCAAAGTCCCAGCCCTGGGCGTGGCTCTCAGGGTCTAGATGGGATGTGGTGTGGACTGGGAGCTCTGAGACTTTAGTCTTTCTGGAGTTTCACTTCTTCTCCCAACCCCTTCTGCCTGGACACTCTTGACGCGGCCCCAGTACTCACTCCCATTGTGTGTCTTGCTCTTAGAGAAGCCAATCAGCATCATCGTGGTGGTTGAGTTTTAAAGTCCCCACCCATTGGCCAAGTCCCAGACCTTCACAGAGCCCGAGGATGAGGTTGATGGCGTCCCGAATGCTGCTCCTCATGCTGTCAGGGGCCCTGGCCCTGACAGAGACCTGGGCGGGTGAGTGCGGGGTGGGGAGAGAAATAGCCTCTGCAAGGGAAGAACTAGGGCACTGTCCTGTCAGCGTGCAGGACTCGGGAGAGCCCTGTCCCAGTCTCCCCCGACCCAGATTCTCCTCACTCTGGCGGGGATTCATCCTGACCCTCCACTCCGGCCCCTAAGTCCTACCCTTCCACGTCCCACAGCCCCCTTAGCGCCTCTAGACTCAGCTCCTCTCCTCCAGCCCTCCTCAACCTGGGACCTCGGTCTGGTGCCTAGAAAAGGATCCTGGGGTCTCAGCGGCTCCATTCCCCAGGCTTCCACTCGCTGAGGTATTTCGTCACTGCCGTGTCCCGGCCCGGCAGGGAGCCCCATTTCTTCGCCGTGGGCTACGTGGACGACAAGCAGTTCGTGCGCTTTGACAGCGAAGCCAAGAATCCCAGTGCGGAGCCACAGGTGCCTTGGATAGAGCAGGAGGGGCCGGAGTACTGGGATCGGCTGACACAGATCGCCAAGAGCACTGCACAGACTCATCGAGTGAACCTCAACACCCTGCTCGGCTACTACAACCAGAGCGCAGGCGGTGAGTGACCTGGGCCCCTGTCGGAGGTCGCTACCCCTCACGTCCCTCACAGACGGTCCCAAGTTGTCCAGGGTCCCGGCCGAGGTTCACCCCAAGGCTGAGGGACCCGCGGGGACCCTCGACCCAGAAAGCTCCTGGGGACTGTGACCAGTTTCGTTTTCAGTTTAGGGAAAACCCGGAGTGGGCGGTGCGGGGCCTCGGCTGACAGCGGGGCGGGGACAGGGTCTCACACCATCCAGACAATGTGTGGCTGCGACGTGGGGACAGACGGGCGCCTCCTCCACGGGTACCAGCAGTACGCCTACGACGGCAAGGACTACATCGCCCTGAACGAAGACCTGCGCTCCTGGACCGCAGCGGACGTGGCTGCTCAGATCACCAAGAGGAAGTGGGAGGCTACTGGTTTCGCAGAGGAGCAGAGGGCCTACCTGGAAGAGGAGTGTGAGGAGTGGCTCCCCAGACACCTGGAGAAAGGGAAGGAGACGCTGCAGCGCACAGGTGTGAGGGGCTTCAGGACACCTGCCTGATCCCCTGTAGGTCTCTCCTCCAGCTTCCCACAAGGAGGGGAGGAGAATGGCGCCCACACTACACACCACCTGCTCCTTGTCCAGGGGGGAGTGAGTGGGCCTGGCCCCCCAGGTGCTGCACTAGAGAGGAACTGAGGCCACTGTCTCTCAGGACAAGGGAGGGATCCCGTCTCTCTCTCTCTGGCTGGTGGGAAAGACAGTAAATACCTGACCACAGGTTCCTTGCAGCAGCCTTGGCATCAAGGACAGAGTGTCAGGTCCACTTCAGCCTAGTGTCCTTGGAGGTCTGACTCCAGCTTTTCCACATGTCTCAGCCTCTACCCAAATCAGAATCTGAAGTCCTTCTTAGGGCCCTGAAGCCTCCTCCGTTGGGTTGTCTCAATCTGATTCTAGAACTTTCCAAGAAATAGATTATGCCAGGAGAGTTAGTCTAGGCTTGTGTCTAGGTTTTGTGCTCCCTCCCCATCCCAGTCATGTTGTCCACTCTCAGGATGGTCATGTGAGCCCTTCAGTGGCTCATGAGGAAATGCCAAAATGTCTGAATTTCCGTGTTCTTTCCCTCAGACCCCCCAAAGACACATGTGACTCACCACCCTAGCCCTGAAGGAGATGTCACTCTGAGGTGCTGGGCCCTGGGCTTCTACCCTAAGGAGATCACCCTGAACTGGCAACGAGATGGGGAGGACCAGACTCAGGAGATGGAACTTGTGGAGACCAGGCCTGCAGGGGATGGAAACTTCCAGAAATGGGCAGCTGTGGTGGTGCCTGCTGGAGAGGAGCAGAGATACACATGCCATGTGCATCATGAGGGTCTGCCTGAGCCACTCACCCTGAGATGGGGTAAGGAGGGGGTGAGGGCCCAGAGCCTGTTGTCAGGAAAGCAGGAGGCTTTCTGGAGACCCTCAGCAGTGAGGGGACTGAGAGCTGGGGATCAGGGCCCCTCACCTGACTTTTCTTTTTCTCCCAGAGCCACCCCCTCAGCCCACCATCCCCATGGTGGGAATTGTTGCTGCAGTAGTTCTTGGAGCTGTTTTCATTGGAGCTGTGGTCTGTTTTGTCAGGGGGAAGAAGAAAAACACAGGTAGGGAAAGTGCAGGGTCTGAATTTTTGTCCCACTGGTGGTTTCAAGTACCTGGTAGAAGTGTGTCCTGCCTTGTTAATGAGAAGTAATATCTACATGTGTCCTTACCCAACCTGGACCCTGTTTACTTTTTGTAAAGTGCATAGAATCTAAAGGACAATGTATCCTCTTGATTTTTGTGGTGAAAGGACCTGATTCCCAGCATTTAGAGGCCAGAGGGGAATCTTCCTGCTGAGGACAGACCTCCAAGAGAGCAATTGGCTCCATCCCTACATATCTACTTTCTTCCTGTCTCCTGATGCTTCTCTATGTCTGCAGTCACAGTTCTGGAGACTGTCCCAGTATCCAGCACTAGGGGTTACCTCTAAGACCTATCTCCAAACTGTTCTCTCACAGGATGCTTTCTTCCCTCAGGTGTAAAAAAAGGGCCCTATGCTCCAGCTGCCTGTAAGTATGAAGAAYATGGATCCCTGAGACCCTAGGAATAGTCTAGTGGGGAGCCATGGGGGAGCTGATCCATCCATAATTCCTCCATTACCCACATCTCCTGTGGGCTCTGACCAGGTTCAGTTTTTGCTCTGCTCAGGTAATGACAGTGCGCAGGGCTCTGATGTATCTCTCACTGCTTAAAAAGGTGAGACCCTGGAGGGCCTTGAGAGGGAGGGGATTGGGGAATGGAGAGACTACTGGGTTACTAGGACTCTCATAGGGATTTGTAACATTTTGAGTGTTTAGTGGGTTGTTCAGAGGGTCTCCATTACAATGAGTGATCTGAATCTGTTCATAATACTTTCTTTCACAGTGTGAGACAGCTGCCTTCTGTGGGACTGAGTAATTCATGAGATTTCAAGAGATTCTTACTTCTCTGTGCAGCTGGCATCTGTGTCTATGAGTCTGTGTTCCTATCATCATCACTGAGGAAATGCAGAGAAGAGCACATCCCTGACCACCAAGATCCCTCCCCACACTGTCCTGTTCTCTTCCTCAATCAACTTTCCTATGTAGCAGATGTGGGGCTGGGAAGTCTCCATTTTTTATTTAGCTTCATGTTGCCCTGGGCTGTAGCTTCTTCCTGCCCTGTTGGAAAACAAAATCTGGATATTGATTTGTATTAGAATTTTATGCCACAAAATATGAAGGATGGGGTAATTAGATGAAGATTCCTAAATTTCAAAGGAAAATAAAGCCTGAAGCCTTCTAGAATCCATATGTTTGCTTTGTTGACACTGCTGTAGGTGGGGACAGGAGAAGACTGAAAGCAGCTGAGGGTGGACAAGGTGGCCCTCAATCTCTGCTCAGTGCATCCTGGTATCTGATATGGTCACTCCTCAGCTGGGTCATCTTTCTGCTCCTTAGTTTTGTCCCTCCAGTTGAATCTCATCCCAACAGGACCTATGGTGACAGGGACTCAAGAATCACCAGGGCTTGTCCTGAATAGGATGAGACCTGAGTCTGACCTTCTACTCCCATCTTTTTTTGTTGTTTCTCAGCAAAATTATCCCTCTTCTTATTAGTAAATATGATGTCCGAACTCTTCTCCTCTGGGTGTCTCTCATAACTGATTGCAGCAGAACTCATTTTTGTTTTTGTTTTCTGTTATTGTCCCAAAAAACCCAGAGCAGGTTCCTGGATTGTATTTTCCATCATCCCTCCAATATTTTTAAAGGACCCAGATTAAGGGCATAGAAGAGAGGAAGGAGCTCATGATTTCTCATTCTAAATAAATTCCTCTTAGGGTTCTATCTTCTCTATTCTGCAGTTTCACTGTCCTTAACAATACTAATCCTAGAACTTGCTCCATTACAGATTCCTCCGTCAATAAAACAGAGTCTAATAGAGATTTCTTTTTAGCTGAAAAATATGACCCATTAGTCAAGGATCATCTTTCCTGAAGATCAAAACGTACTTGGGTGCTGTGGAGTGCAGGAGGGCTGGTGTGGAGGGAGGGAGGGCAGCACTTGTGAGAAAAGCCCAGATGGCTTTGCCTCAGACTGACAAGCCCTTGTTCTGAAGATGCTTCAGCAGCCTTTGGTCTGAGGATTCATTAATAAAGACAGAAGAGGGAGGGGCTGACACTGATCATTCATTCAGCTCTTATTTGTGGAGTAGTGAAGAGATGACACACAGTTTGCACCAAGCATACATCAGGGAACTGAAAACAAACCAAAAGTGCCCCCCTTGTGGAGCCTGTGTTCTATAGGAAAGAGGAGGAAGACACACTCTAGCACAGTAAATGAGGACAGTGTTCATGTCAGGTGGAAAGTGTTGCAGGACAGGTCTCAGAATGGGTGTGTGGGGACAGGGAAGATGACTGTTTTACTAGGGTGCTCAGCATGGGACTTATTAGTAAGGTGACCTTTGGGGATAGATTTGAAGGACATGAAGGAATTTGTCAGGATGTTTGGAGGAAGATCTTTCTAGGCAGGAGGAAGCTGCAGTGCAAATGCACCAGGGCAGGATCCTGTGTGTGTTCTGGGGAGAGCAAGGATCTGGGATGTCCTGAGGGGAGTCAGAGAGGAGCTCAGAGGCACAGCCAGTCCCTGACGATCTGGATGTTAACAAAAGGAATAGTGCGTTGAGTGAAGCAGTTTTGGGAAAAGACAGACATGCTGCATCTTTTCAAAGCATCATATTAACTGCTGAGCTGAGAATACAATTGAGAGGGGAGGACTCACAAGGCAGCAGGAAAACTTCAGAAAAACAGTCCTATGCTGGAGAAGTTGGTCGCTTTACCTGATGTGTGAGCAGGGGAAATAGTGGAAGTATTTGGATGCTGCACACATTTTGAAGTGGGACTTTACAGCACTTCCTAAGGAACTTAAAAGAAGTATGTCAAAGAGGAAGTAAGGAGAACACCAAAAAAATTGTGAAACTGTAATCAGAAAGATAAGAATTGCATCAGTGAAGAAGGGAAGACTCTGAGGGGCTTGTGTGAGGACAGGACTTTGCAGGCACTCAGTGGAGATGTTGAGCGGAGGTGTTCAAACTGCCTTACCAACAGCTGATAATCAAACTGCTCTCAGCAGACAAGGGCTTGATGTAAATATGCATCTTATGCTTGACTGGTGTCAGTGTGGGACAAGGTATGGTAGAGGTGTCCTTGATCACTCTCACTTTCTGTCTGTGTCTTGTTGTGGGTTTTAGAGTCCAGTGCTGGTGCACATAGCATCCATTTGAGTAGCACTGCTGTAGACAGAACAGTGTTCCAGCATCTGCCTGGTGTCAGATCTATAGCAGGAAGGAATCAGTAGTTCATGGTGGTTTCATTTATAGTAATGTGATTTTAAGGTTGTCCCTTCCCCAAAAATCAGCTAAGAAGCCATAAAGTGGAAGAAGCATCCAAAGGTAGAAAAGTAAGAGAATAATTCTTTAGCTCAAAGTATTAAGGTAGAAAGAAATTCATGGAGAAAAATTACACTTGTCCCAAGGTATTAGCCGAAACTGGAGAAAGCTTAGCTTTGATTTTTCTTAGACTCAAGATATATTACTGTGATAGATTCCTCTCAGAGAAACCAAATACCTGAGATAATTAACTTATAAAGAGGAAAGTTTTAATACCCTAGAAACTAGCCAGAGCAATTACACAAAAGAAATTAAAAGAATGCAAATTGGAAAAGAATTTCCAAACTATCACCTTTTGCCGATGACATGATTCTATATTTAAAAGATACAAAAAATTCCACCTGAAATGCTCTAGAACTAATGAATGAATTCAGCAAAGTAGCAGGATATAAAATCAACACTCATAAATAAAATGCATTTCTGTACATCAGTGATGAATACTCTGAAAGAGAAACTAGAAAACCTACCCCATTTATAATATCTTCAGAAAAAATAAAATAAGATCCTTAAGAATCATCTTAATGAAAGAGGTAAAAAACTTCTACAATGAAAACTACAGAATGCTAAAAAAAAAAGAAATTAAAGAAGAACTTAATTAATTTAACGTCTCATTTCTTCAGTACCTCCAGGTACTTTTGTGACCCAAAATTGTCACCAATTCCTTTATCTTTATAGTGCGCTCCCACTCAATCTAGTTAAACTAAAATGCCTCCTTGTTAGGCGCTAGTTCCACCGCGCGGCCAGCACGCTGGTTTCATACAAGAGGTTCGTAGCATAGAAGTTAACTAGTAAGATCAAAATAAACACATAGACTCAATTACCTTTTTCTATGACCAGGTCCGAGACGGGTCTCCCCTCTGGCTCCTGCCTCGAGCCACCTGGAGGAGCAGCAAGGTTTACACAGACTAGCAGGAGAGAGAGAGGGAGAGCACGCCAGGGAGTGGCCTTTTATTGAGGAACAAGAAATTCAGGGGAAAATTTCATCCAATGAAGGTCGAGGGGGGCAACATTCCAAGGTCAGGGTCAGTGATTGGTCTCAGGGTCAATGGTCAGTCACACCCCCACATGGACAGGCTCTCACACCTGGAGAGGGTGGGGATTAGCTCCGATGCAGTTTGACTAGAACGCCTCACACCCAATCAGGGAGGTGCCCAATCACGTGTGAGAATGGCTTCCCACAAAGAACTTAGAAGATGGAAAGATCTCCCATGTTCTTGGAAATTGTCAAAATGGCCGTACTACTCAAAGCATGAAACAGATATAATGCAATTCCTATTAAAATTTCAATGTCATTCTTCATATAAATAGAAAAAATAACCATGAAATTYATTTGGAAAATAAGAAGAGTGAAGCAGGATGCATCACAATAACAGACCCTAAACTGTATTACACAGCTATAGTAACAGAAAGAGCATGGTATTGTCACCAGAGTAGATATGTAGACCAATGGTACAGAATAGAAGACACAGAGACAAACCCACATAAATAGTTATTTCATATTAGGCAAAGGCACCAAAAACATACAATAGAGAAAAGATAGCCTCTTCAACAAATAGTGCTAGGAAAACTACAAATCCATATATTAGAAAATAAAATTTAAGCCCTTTCACCCTGTACAATTCTCAAAGTGGATTAAAGATTTAGGCTCTAGAACAGAGACCCTGCACCTAATAGAAGAAAAAATAAGCCCAAATCTTTATCATGTCAGCTTAGGACCTGACTTCCTTAACACAACTTCTAAAGCACAAGAAATAAAATCAAGAATTAATAAATGGGATGGATTCAAACTAAAAAACGTCTTCTCATAAAAGGAAACAACATGAAGATTGGTGCAACCACTATGGAAAGCAGTATGAAGATTCCTAGCAAAACTGGGAATAGAACCACCGTTTCACCCAGCTATCCCACTCCTTGCTTTATACCCCAAAGGACTTAAAAACATCATGCTACAGTGACACAGCCATTTCAATGTTTATAGCAGCTCATTTCACCATAGCCAAACTATGGAACCAATGTTGATGTCCTTCAGCAGATGAATGAATAAAGAAGCTGTGGCATATATACACAATGGAATCTTACTCAGCCTTAAAGAAGAATGAAATTAT